CTTCAATATCGTAGAACAAACTTTTGTTCTATCACCAATAGTTTCCCTTGCGCACGCAACGAAAGATATTTTTACACCTTGAGTTACGTTACTACAGTTTTAGTAAGAATCCCTAATCTTTTCTAGCAATATATATAGCCTATGTTACTCAGGGTGAAAATAGCTTTCTAATGGTGAAAGAATTTTTGAAATCGGTAAAGTAGTTTTTGAGTTTATTCATTACAAACATACACACAAAAATACAAATCTTTCCTCTTTATAAGTATAATATTAGTGTAGACATGTAATAGGAAAAATTTAAACTTAATCTTGCTGGTCTGTTTGAGACATAGATTGCTATTTGCTCTTCTATTACAGTTATTTGTTTTATGTAGTAATATTTTACGTATTTATTTATGTATATACTTAATACATGTATATATTTAACAAATTATGTGTATGTTTATATTAGTCTAATTTTTTTTTGATGGGTGAAAATGGAATGGTAACCCTGCCTGCGCTAATGGGATACGCTGGCGGGGCACCAGTGAAGGGTGATAGATGAGAAAGAAAACAGGCCAACTGGCCTGGAATTCATCATGATGGGCTAACTAGTCCATCATGATGAATTCATCAGGAATTAATTGATAGTTTCCAGGAGGAACCGCAAGGAGGTCGACCTGGTTGGGTATATTGCTAGCAATGGGAATCTCAGTCTCCATTACTAACAATCCCTTTCCCCCCTATATTAGTCTAATTATATGTTTATATTATATAAATATATCAAGTATTGTTTTATTTTTCCTCTATTCAATAATGCACCGCCTGCTTATTTCTCTGTTCGCCCAATAGTTGTAGAGATGGTGATGGTGGTAGAATGGTGGTAGAGAATACCGTTCGGTGTTCAGTCCGCCAAATGTAGCTATATAGAATTTTACCTGTGAATTAAATTTTAAATAAATAAAAATTGGAAAAGAACGTTTTTCATGAAATATACACCGTAATGGTAACAATTCGCTGTTACCACGTTGTTCTCATCAGTTTTAAAAAATTTTCTTTATCAAATTTTATACATAACTTTTGTATTTGTGAAATTGTTGCCGGCGGCCATAAATATATATAAAAAACTAACCTGTCCGAGCAGTTTGTCGTGTAATCTGTTTTCCTTAAGTCGCCTGCCCACACCGGTGGCGGCGCGGGAACACGGTCGCTGAAACTTTAATTATGTTTTTGTAAAAGTGTAACAATTTAGAAGTGTGAGCGAGCAAGGCATATTTTCATTCATTTTCATTAAAGAGTTTCCTCTTGAGTTGTGTCTTGTTCCTCTCTTGTGCAACTAATTCATGCATCTTCCTCCAGCCAGCTCTATCCCAGGCCATATCCTTTATCTCCCTATACGACATGACGCCTAGTATTTCCTTTATCTGTCCCATGTAGTTAATCCTCGGTCTTCCTCTTCCTCTTTTGCTCTCTATCTTTCCTTCTATTATGCTCTTAAAAAAATCGTCATGTCGTATAAGGTGGCCCAGCATTTTGCCTCTTCTATTCTTTATTATTTTAATCAATGTTCTCTTCTCGTTTACTTTTTTCAGGACTTCCTCATTCATTAGTTTTTCTGTCCAGCTTATCCTTTTCATTCTCCTCCATGTCCACATTTCGAAGGCATATTTATCTTCTACTTAATCATACTAATGTAATAAACGTGAAAGTGTTTCTACCGTGAAGCAGTTGTGTTTGCATGGCTATGTTTCGGTTTGAAGGGTGGGATATGGCAGTGAATTAACAGGGTACAGAGAAATAACACTATATATGAGGGGGGAAAGGGATTGTTAGTAATGGAGACTGAGAATCCCATTGCTAGCAATATACCCAACCAGGTCGACCTCCTCGCGGTTCTCCATGGAATCTATCATGGTTAATTCCTGATGAATTCATCATGATGGGCTAACTGGCGTGTTTTCATTCTCATCTATCACCCTTCACTGGTGCTCCGCCAGTATATCCCGTTAGCGCAGGCGGGGCTACCATACCATTTTCACCCATAAAAAAAACACTATATGTGAATACATATGAATAACGTAAATTTTGTTGGTGTCAGTTTTGTTAATATGTAATCGATGACTTAAGAAAATGCCGTATACATCTGTCATTGGTGTAAATGCAAGATGCAAGCCCTGTATATCAATTAAAATTAATGTCTGTATTTACACTATTGACATCGATATTAGATTCAAGAGTAGATCTGCTGATTAATTGATACATCTCTGCTCAAATACGAAAAATAACTCAAAGTTTAAATCATTTTTATTCAAACAGACTTGTTTACAAGCACTTTTAAATCGTCATTTTTTTTTTAAATCTACTGCAGGCTTCGAAAAGACGTTATCTCAACAGGAGAAGAGCCCGCAAGAAACTCAACATTTACTCTTTTAAATCTCTGTTAACATTATGTGTGTTTATTTAAATATAATAATAATATAATAATTAGATGTCTAATAGAACATATATAACGGGAAACTGGTGATGAACTCAATGTATTTTTGTCGTTTCCGACAATTGTTTTGTCTTCAACCGGATGTCTTGTTCAGGGGTCGTTTGGCGCTTTGCGTCACAGCGTCTCGCCTCGCACTGTTTTCCATTACATATGTACATAGGCTCCGTGTGACAGGACTCATAATCATTATATATTTAACAAAAAATACCAAATACAAATTCAAGAAGAGGAAAAGGACCAATCCGGTGTACATGAATTACGCATATACACCGATGGCTCCAAAACCGAGAACGGTTCAGGAGCCGGAGTCTTTTCCTTAGACCTGAATATAAACGTGCACATACCGCTTGGCGTACACAGCTCAATATTCCAATGCGAATGTGTTGCAATAACCGAGGCTGCTGCAGCTGTACATAAGCTAGGAATAAATGGTTTTAGCATTAGATTCTTATCTGACAGCGCAGCAGTACTAAAAGCATTACGAAACAACAAGACAAACAACAAATTGATAATTGAATGCCACCATTCACTGGATAGGATATCTTTCAATAACCGAGTTATCCTCCAATGGATAAGAGGGCACAGTGGATCTTATGGTAACGATGCCGCAGACGAACTGGCTAGAAGAGGCTCAGGAACGAGGGTGGTAGGCCCGTATCCACTTCTTCCTCTTCCGTTCTCGCAATTTCGAATGTGGATTCGTCAAAGATCCGCTGACATACAAAACCAAAGATGGATACAGGCTACTGATTGCAGACAATCAAAATTGGCCGTACCTACGTTGAATCAACGACTATCAAAACGTTTATTACATCTAGATAGAAAAAACCTCAAAATAATGATAGGGACAATAACGGGTCATTGTCCATTAAACAGACATCTATACACAATAGGAGCCACAGACAGCCCTCTATGTCGAGGCTGTTTCGACGCTGAAGAAACGGCTGCTCACGTAATCCTGGAATGTGAGGCTGTGGCCTATCAACGTTTAGAAATCCTCGGAACGGTGAGGTCGCTCCGTGAAGCCTGTGAAGAACCCAGGAAGCTTCTGCGCTTCTGGGCGGAGCTAGGTTGGCTGTACTAGCCACGACTCACACGCACAACGGCCCAAATGAGAGGCTAAGTGCGGAAATCAGAGTCTTTCTTACATTACATTACATTACATGTACATAGGCATCGGATAAAATTTTTAAAAAAGTTTTAAAAATAATTATGAATAGAGACATGCGATATTTTATTAATTTCCGCTCCCGTTGCACCTTTTAAGCCACAAAACCGTTTTGTTTACCGTTACCTGAAAGGGTTTTGCTTAAATTTTAATTTAGGGACCGCCGTATGCACGATGGGACGGGATGAAAAAGACGTCATTTTGACTTGATGCTTTTTTTTTGTGTTATCTCATTGTTAATTTAGATGGTGAATTGATTTAGGACTACTTATTACACGTATAAAAAGTAACATATTTAAGACAATAAAGTGTAAATTGTCACAATAATAAGCTTAAAAATTTCATATAAAATAAATTCTATAAATTTCATTATACATTTTTTTATTTTTGTTTAGAATGCTTATTTGTTAAAAAAAAAAAACACAAAAAAAACGAGGCTTATTAGGTAAAATGTGTTTTATTTTTAATATCAAACAAAATGTATTCCAATATTCTTCCAATAAATAGAAAATTGTTAGATTTAACTAATCTTCAAATATTAAAGTATGAGTCTTACAAAAATAATTTCTGATTAATATTTTATCTCTTATAGATACCTACTTATATTGAAAATAATTAGGTCTAAAAGTCTCTAATGAAATTTCTTCGGCGTTCTTTATTAGAATTTTGCTAATTAAGATCCTGCTTTACTAATAATTTACAAGGAAATAATTATTTTGGATCTGTAATTTTATATTTCTTCTATTAGAGACGTTCCATTTATTAATAACATTATTTAGCTATTTTATTAAATATAATATAATTTTAATGTGTCCAATGTTCAGTTTGTACATTAAAGATTTTTACATCTACAGTCTATGGGCTACAGCAATCGTTTACCATAAGACGGGCTGTACGCTTGTTTGCTACCTTCGTGGTATAAAAACAAATACAAATATTATGAGAAAAGGAAATGTTTTAAATAATAATTATAATCAATAACGTTCAGTAGTTAATGGTATTATTTTCCCATAAAAATAACCGAAGTTATATATTTTTAAAGCACGACTGTAGTAGACAAACATATCTACATTTCACGTGTCACCTACCCTCGTAATATAAAAATCTTGAGTCAGAGTAACCATAGTAATTTAATTGCTATATTTCACTCTTTTAACAAGAACACAGCTTGTATACAAACTTCTTGATAGTGAAAATAGTTGAGACAGAGTCCCTGCAGGCCACTTTTTTCGATACTTAAAAGGGCAATTAAAATAATATACTACATGATGTAATTTTCATCACACAGGTATTCTTTATTCTTTATTGTACACTACACAATGTATTTTTTAACCTACATTTATTTTTCTTTCATAATAGAGTGTGGCAAACGGCGAACTCTGGCCAGTGCAACGAAACGCATAGTTGGTGGTGTGGAGGCGTCGCCTGGAGACTGGCCGTTCTTGGCGGCAATCCTCGGCGGGCCCGAGGAAGTATTCTACTGCGCTGGCGTGTTGGTCGCTGATCAGTGGGTGCTGACTGCGTCACACTGCGTTGGCAAGTGTGTACTCGGAAATACTGTTGTTTATGCAACTTAGAAAGGCAAACAAGCAGATGGCCCACCTGATGGCAACTGGTAACCGTCGCTTATAGACATGAACAGTACCATAGATAAAACATTGTATACTATGTCACCCATGATACTCTTTATGCGTTACCTTTGCTGACGACTAAAGTACTATGCCTCTATACCTTGTAATTTCATTTCATATCCTAACCTTCATATCAAAACAGAGCCATGCAAACAGCAAAAACACGAACGAATCAGAGGTACCCAAGCAAATGACTTTTGTACAAAATCTTAATAAAAAAAATATCTGTTCAAAGCAGTTATTGCTTTGTTGATTTTGGAATCGAAATAATGTGAAGTAAATATGTCTATTTTTCAAACCCGAATAAACGGAATACATTATGCAATACTAATTACTATTTTTAAAACAAAATAGTCCGCATATTTGGTTCTAAAAATAGAAAATATGAGTAAGTCCTTTTTATGGATGATAATGGAATGGTAACCCCGCTTAGGCTAAGGGTATACGCGGGCGGGGCACCAGTAATGGATTATAGGTGAGAATGAAAAGACAGGTTGCCCATTATGACGAATTCAATAATAATCCCCCTGAAAATCACGATGGTTTACAGGGGGTGCCGCGAGGAGGTCGACCTGATAGGGATTATTGCTAGCAATGCTGCAATTAGACCCTATTGCTAACAATCCTTTTCCGTTCAATATGAGTAGATTAGGTCTAAACATATATATTATCTGTCATCATGGATATGGGCTTGCAGAAGGGATTTCCTTCTTTAACGTTCATGTTTTTTTTTTTTTTTTTTTTTTTTTTTTTTTTTTTTTATAGAACTTAGTTTCGTGTGCGACAAGTTTTACATCTCCTCAGCTGAACTTCCTCTCACTCAACTGATCGCTTCCCCGTGGCCCTATAACTTACATTTTTTTAAAGAACTTAGAATGGCAAACGAGCTGACAGCCCACCTGATTTCCATCAGTGGTAACCGTCACCTATAGACATGAGCAGTACCATGGACATAACAGAGTATACTGTTTCGCCCATGATACCCCCCATGCGTTGGCATTCCTGAGGACTCAGGTGTTATTCTTCTGTACCCTGTAAATTCACTGCCATATTCCAATAGCTTATACCTTGTGTATCTTTCCAGTCATTCAGATGTGAACGGCTGGACTATTCAACTGGGCATCACCCGCCGGCGCTCGCATGCCTACTACGGACAAAAGGTGAAGGTGCGCCGAGTGGTTCCGCACCCTCTGTACAACGTTGGAGTCGCTCATGACAACGACATCGCGCTGTTCCAGGTATCAGAACTATAATATCTTAGGTGATAGGATGTGTATTACATTATTACTCAGTCATGCTTGAACAGTTGAATACATTTGTATGATACTTGGTTAAGAGATCCAGAATATATCCTAGATTTTTTTTATACCACTGAGGTGGCAAACAAGCATACGGCCCACGTGATGGTAAGTGGTTACCGTAGCCTATGAACACCTGCAATACCAGAGGTATTACGTGTGCGTTGCCGACCCTGAAATAACCTCTTTACCCCCCTTTTGAAGAACCCCATGCTGTAGTCTCTTGGGAAAACCTCGGCAGGGATCTCATTTCACAACCTGAGAGTTCGTGGGAGGAAATATCTCTGAAACAGCTCAGTACGCGACCATTGAGGCTGTAGGACATGAGGATGACCTCGCTGTCGATGGCGAGCCGTACGATGGTAGAAAGTGGCTGAAGGCATCATATTGAACAATTCCTCTTTATTGATACTCTTTATTGTTTCCTCCAAAAGATTACAATAGTAAACTTATTATAAATATAAATAATTACAAGAAATAATCACAATGAGAAAACAATGGGCGACCTTATCGCTAAGAGCGATCTCTTCCAGGCAACCTATATATATTACTCAACTTTATCAATTTATATTTCTGTCTATAAAGTTTGAAGAAGTTGTACCCACTAAAAACAACTATATTTTAAATCAATACATGATATCAACAGCTCGCAGTACGCGTACGCTACCACGAGCAACTGTCTCCCGTGTGTCTACCACCTGAAAACCGTGCACTACCAGCGGGAACCCTCTGCACCGTCATCGGGTGGGGGAAACGTGATGATAAAGACAGTAAGCAATCACAAGCTTTTTCTAGACGCTGTCAATTGACATGCATGTTCATCATTACCTTGCTTTTATCCAATTTCTTTGAGGTCAGCCCAGGAGCTACATCATGCTTATTAGATGAAGAATTGTGACTGGTTTGAGATATCACGGTATACAACCACTCCGCGATCATAGGGTCTAGTAAACACCACTTTAGTGCCATCGAAATTAATTAATTAAATAGGAAAAAACCTTATATAAAAAGTCAGTATCATTTTCATGTAAGAATTTTCATATATGGTAAATTCATTTATGTACATAAAATAATTTATCGCTGTACTTTTGTACACTGTGGTATCGAATGGTTATCCCTACAGGAATATTATATGTATAATATTAATATAATTACCCTTTTTTTACTATTAATTTTCAAACAGACTGTTCTTATTATTATCAAAAAACTATTGGTAGGAAAAAGTGGCATATTTATTCCATTCATCTCTACTGGTCACATAATGGTAGGGACAGGTGGAAAAAAAATTCACTCTTATCTCCCAGGGGGAAAAGTTGGTGGGGACAAGTGGAACTGGCTAATTAATTTTACCATAACGTGATAAATAAAACAAATTGTGATATCAACTCAGTCATACAGACTGTTGTGTCTCATCGCTGGACAGTTAGTGTCAATTAAAAAAAAATATTACAACTGTAATACCTGATGGAATGATCAGTGGAATTTGGACTCTTTAAGTCTTAACTAATTGTCATGAGTCATTTAGTTATTATCTAATACCAGAATAAAGCAGAAAACATAATGTCGGGTAACCACCAATAACTTCTAACTGACATTTGTAAATAGTCGAAAATATTTTTCTAACTTTCTATTTAACGTTACATAGAGAAATCATTTTTACTGCAAACTATTGAGAACATGTGTTAACACTATTTTACTTTTTGTTTTTTTTTTACGACTTAGAATGGCAAACAAGCAGACGACCCACCTGATGAAAAGTGGTAACCGTCGCCTATAGACATGAGCAGTACCATGGACATAATAGAGTATACTGTTTCGCCCATGATACCCCCCATGCGTTGCCATTCCTGAGGACTCAGGTGTTATTCCTCTGTAACCTGTAAATTCACGTCATATCCCACCATTCAAACCGAAACAGCCAGGCAAACATTTCGTATTTGGAATAAATTCAAATTTAGAATATTCTCCTTATTTTATTCTCCTTATTAATTTTGTCCGTTTTAGAAGATTTGGCGGTTAACCGTCGATAATAACCGGATACAAATATGTTTCAGTGTCCGAATATGAGCCGGCGGTGAATGAGGTGGAGGTGCCGTTATTGAACCGTGATATTTGCAACCAGTGGCTCGAGCATAGGGACCTCAATGTGACGGAGGGCATGATCTGCGCCGGCTACCCTGAAGGTGGCAAGGACGCATGTCAGGTGAGTGAAAGTAGACCGACCGCGCTCTCGATTAAATAAATTTGCGAACTCTTGCGTTAACTCTTATTTAAGGCGGACTTATCTCTGAATGAGATCTCTTCCAGACAACCCAATACATTGGGAAAGCAGGCAGGCAGTGGGTTAGGTTAGCTGGCAGCTAAAATGCACGAGTGCTGTACGAACGATATTAATACTAATATACGAGATAAGATACAAATTAACAGCTATATATATATATATATATATATATATATATATATATATATATATATATATATATATATATATATATATATATATATATATATATATATATAATGGATGATAATGGATTGGTAACCCCACCCGCGCTATCGGTGTACACCGGCGGGGCACCAGTGAAGGATGATAGGTGAGGATGAAGCAGGTCAGTTAGCCCATTGTGACGAATTCAACAAGAATTGTTCACGATGGTTTCCAGGGGGTACCACGTGGAGGTCGACTTAATAGCATCTGGCAGTTTTGCATAAATATAAATATTAAAATAGTGAAATATATATATATATATATATATATATATATATATTTCACTATTTTAATATAGTCCTATTCTGTATTTGTCTTATGTTTTACTTCACTCGTATTACTGTGCCGACTGTGCTCCGAGCAAATACACGTCTTGAAATCCTCTCCTTACTTTTATTAATGTGACAAACTAAAATGTTCACCGCCTTCCCTATATGTCGACGCGTAGAATAGTGATTGTTCATGCGAACGTATATTGTCAATAGACGCCTTCGTTTAATAGTAAATCAGGGGTTTATCTATAAATATTTGTGCGTCGAGTCGGTAAATTCAATAAGCCGAGTATTTCATCAATAACCCGACAACAATACACAACTCGATTCCTTGATCTCGCCATATCCAATAAAGTCGTAAAGAGTGTTGACTTACTTGTTCCCCGCTCGTCACGCCCCCTCACCGCCCCTCCGGGAACTTAACCCCATCTTCTAATCGTTTATTTGAACGAGAGCCCAGAGAAAATAGATAACAGTTTTATTACACGTTTTATGCATGTTTGGTGATTTCAAATTTAATTAAGTACTTACCTAGACTTCATCAAGGAAACGTATTTGTGTATATTTTGAACTGACTTCAAAAAGTAGCAAGTTTTCTCAATTCGATTGTATTTTTTTTATGTTTGTTAGCAACGACCACGTGACACCCCTAGTGTTGCAGGTGACTATTAGCTACAGTGAGCGTTTACCATCAAACGGGCTATATGCTCATTTACCATTTTTGTGGTATAAAAAAAATACTAGGTGCATAAATTGCATTTTTGATGTTACACAGGGCGACTCAGGTGGACCGCTGCTGTGTAAAGATCCGGACGATCCATCGCGCTGGTACGTGGGCGGCATCGTCTCCTGGGGCATCAAGTGCGCGCACCCTCGCCTGCCAGGTGTCTACGCATACGTGCCCAAATACATACCCTGGATCCAGCGGCAAATCGCCCTCTACAACGACGACAAAGCAAGGTCTGAGGACATCTGAGGGCATCGTTTCCACATGTAGCCCCCCGCTCACCGTCGGATCCACGGTAACGACATATAGACCACTTGAGTCCCCTATCCATGTGTTCCACTTTAATTTTGAAGGTAAGATGTCGAAGGTGGCAATTTACGACAATAATTGAATGCACGACAATAAAACTGAGAGCCGATGGCCATTTTACAAACCTATCACTCGACTATCGCGTGAGGAGAATTGTGAAGCTGTGATACTATGAAATCTTTTATTATGAAACGAGTTCGATTGTATTGTATTTAAAGTTTACCGGTTACAACTAAGGTTGACTTTTTGACTTTGCCGTTTTTTTCGTCTCTCGATACCTTTTCTCGGGATAATGTGTAACTTCGTTGTAATCTATTTAACGGGAAGTTAATATAAGCGGCTTATTTAAGTGACGTAGGGTTCTGAAGCTTTAGCCTAAAACGTTTAGGAGGTTTTTTGTTTTTATATTGTCCCTTGAAAATTTCGTTTTTATTCCGTGTTGTTGAACGTTTAGTGTCACATAGCGTCGTGGACGTGCTTCTGGTGAGGGAGAGACGGATATAAATTGTGTATTGAGGTTATAGTAAAATCAAATGATCAAGAATAGTCATCTCAGTACATAAAGGTTAAGTTTCTATATTTATTGGAATAAGCTAATATAATAATAGGCAAAAATATACCAGTTTAAAGTCTTTATATGGAATATCCCATTTTCGTACTGCCCTCCCCTAAGCACGGCCATATTTAGCACTTAAGTGTATGTTTGTTTGATGTTTGGTGTTAGTAATACTAGCAGAAAGTGCTTTTATAGAGTAAACTGATGGATAACTATCACATAGAAATTGACATCAGAAATAGTGTCATCTGTACATACGTGTTAGAACTAATCCGATATGTGTGTGATAATGTCAAGTAAATTATTCTTCCTTCCCCATTGACAATAAATTCTGGAATCTATGACAATAATAATAAAAAAAATATACATATATATATATATATATATATATGTTGAACTTAGTATTATGGTAAGTCGCAAGTGACAATAATTGTTATGGGAATAAAAGAAAAAAAAACTCAGTTTAGTGTTACCTGTAGACGGTACTATTGTAAACATTTTTAATCGTGATTGATTTATCATGATAGTGACATATGACAATAATTACTTTTTCGACAACATTTATATACAAACTTACAGTAGTATAAGCTTTGTTATATACTATACAATGTAAATTAGTACTCATATTCTGTTTTTTTTTTATTTTTGTTTTCTAAAATTAGGTAGCAACATTTTCTAAACTTCAAATTACTGATACTAATGAGGAAATTAGTAAAATAGCTTTAATAGTTTGTAAGTTAGGTTAGTTAGAGTATATGTACTAATCACTGTTTAGATATATATATACTTAACAAAAAAATTTTGTTCTTCAACTTGCCCCCTACTTTTGTACATACATTGTATAACTTGTACATTTTCGTTTCAAAAAAGTATATTTACAAGAATCTCATAGGTGGTACGTTAAATATTTGATGATCTTTATAATGAATTTATAAATGTATATGTTTAAAATCGGTTGTTTGTTAGATATACTAACGTCCCTCAAAGTCTATGCTCAAATATAAAAAAAAAATATTTAAAAAAAAAAACAAAGAGTAAGACGCTGCACAGAAGCAAAATATCATATATAGACTACAATACCATTTGAGAATATTTTAGTGACAAAAATTTAATTTATTTAATAAAAAAAAAATTATGGTTATAAATTTTACTAAGTATAGAGCAACTGCTGGCAATGTCCACTATTAGAAATTGCTCTTAATTGCCATTTTATATTTCATAGAACCCATCTAATTTTCTTGGAAAATCAAATAATTTTAATCCAACGTCAGCTAATATGAGTTAACTAATATTACATGTATATTAGCTGATGTTAGTTCAGGCTCGTAGTTACCTACAAAATTTTGTTAGTTTAAAATTTTAATGCAAAAAGTGGTTTTTGACTTATACACACTCTGGTCATAGAAAAATGGTAGATACGATTAAGAGTTTACGAAAGTTTTATAGATTTTCAATAGGTATATCAAATTAGAATAACAATATAACACGTTGATAACAAATATTGATACCGTTCCGTATTGTTTTCAATTACCGTGTGTGTTTTTTTTTTTATGTATTTTACCAGCTGTTCGGAATTACACACTTAGGATAGGTAGTAAGAAAGTATGGTTGTCGACTTCTTATGACTCCCCTTCTTATCTCGAGCTTTCTACTAGAGTAGGTACATGATAGATATAAATAAACTCTAATATAAAATGGTAGTGAATGTGTGAGGCACGTGATAACAATGTGATAGGCATAATGGGGGGTTATAAAATGGCCACTTTCGATTTTGTAATAGATCATACACGATTCACATTTGATTTGGTGTTGGTATTTATTTTGAGTTTTTAATTTAATTGTATAAATATTTTTAACCAGCACCTCTTAATTTTAATAGATTTTTGAGAATACGAGTATCTTGTAGTGAAATCTGTAAGTAATAATAAAAATGTATAGGAATGTGTAGTTACTTGTACAATGATTTTATATTCAGTTCTGAGATTTATATGACTGATATTTTTTTTATAGAAATCCATAAAATAGCCGTTTTAGAATGTTATTCATTCTCTCTTTTCATTTAAGAGTTTCCTCTTGTCGGTGCAACTAATTCATGCATCTTCCTCCAGCCAGCTCTATCCCAGGCCATATCCTTTATCTCCCTATACGAGATGACGCCTAGTATTTCCTTTATCTGTCCCATGTAGTTAATCCTCGGTCTTCCTCTTCCTCTTTTGCCCTCTATCTTTCCTGCTATTCTTCTCTTCCTGTTATTCATAAGGAACTATTAAAAATATTGAATCACCCATACTAATACAGCTCATCTCCTTGTCGAATGAGTGTAATAATTTGCGTAAATTCAGTCTGATACAGTCTGAGTATTTTGTGACAATATTACGTTCACTATATCTGTTGAATTCTTGTCATCAAAATTTGTATTAATTCAAATATGAATCGTTTTATATGATCCAATTATGAACGAAAGTGACAATTTTAAATGCCTACCCTGGTATGCGAGATGAAAATCGGGCGCAGCCCTACGTAGCGTTTCTTCTTATCTATCATTGAATTATTGTCGACATATAAAGTTATACACATATAACCTTCGTGTGTATGTTCGTTTTATAACGATGTTAGATGTTCAAGCAAATTGGATTCGATGCTCAATTCACTAGTAAATGAAGACTCGAGAAATTATCTCTTTATCAAGGAAATATATGAGAAAAGTTTTTATAGACTTGAAGACTATTTTAATGTATAATTTTATAAACAAGTTTCAAATGATATATTTGCACGCCACACGTTTTAATACAGAGCGTCTTTTTTAACATTAAACGCTTCTAACGTGTACCTGTATTCAAGCAAATAAATTTATCATTCATTCATTCATTTATATGTGTACTACATTTTGTATAGCGATTGATAACTAGCCCAAATTTTAATAACTTAACTATCCGGCTATTTATGATGTAAAAGCTGGCTAAATAGTCAGTTATTCTTGTCGACTATTACTTAGTATTAATTAATATGGGAGATTAGATTTTTCTATCGTTTTTCGACCCATAATCCTTTGAGAAAGATGTTTTTTTAATTATACAGCACTATCATACCTACTTGTACAACAATTAGTCCTATACCTTAAGGTTGTCTTGAAAAGATTGCTCTCAGCAATAAGACCGCCTTACTGTACTTATACAATTGTATCGTTGAGTTTGTAAATTGCCTTGCTTATTTCCTATATTGTAGAATACAAATAAAGTATACTCATTCATTTAATTTCACTTGTAAAATGCTTTCTCAAAAGCATGTTTACCATTTAACCCTGATATATCCACGATTAAGAGTAAAAATATCTCCCTTCCACTGGTAAAGTTATAAATTATTATTATATGTGATATATTGTCAATATTCGCAAACTTCCGCGTCTCCCGAACTATCTGAACACTTGTATGCGTTCTACGAATTACAATTCGCGGAAGATTCACTTTACAACTATCCTACTATCAACATCCATCGGTTTCATTCAAATAATTTGATACAAATTTGTAGAATTGAAATACAGGAAAACATGACGATATATGTGACAAATTGATAAGTTTTAAAATGTGAATAACTTGAACAGTTTTCGTTTAAGTTTATAACCATAAATGGTTAAACAGTTAATGCAACGCACGGTTGTAAACTATAAATTTATAGTGTTCCAAGTATAAAAAGCAACATATTGTGACGATTAAAAATATAATAAGTTGTATTGCTGATGAACATTTTTTTTTAGAAAACACTATTAAATTAGCTCGAATCTAAGCAAACTAAAAAACTATTAAGTTCAATTTAGTAGCCAAGTCTACAGTATCATATTTACAGTAAGTTATAGCTTTTACTGTTTTCTGTTCACATTTTAAAGTCAAAGTGTAATTTACCTGAAGGTAGAATAAAAGTGAGTATTAGAACCAATAGAGAGCGTTGTCGCGTTCTATATCAAATTATCTACGTAATCAATACCTTTTTTTTTAATAATAAATATTTTTTTTTAATTGGATGGTTTAAAAAAAAAGAATTAAATTTATACTTTTTAAATGTATAAGTAATATTAAGTTATTCCTGCTTACTTTAATACCTAATCCTTTCTTATTGCACAATTTATATATATACCAAATTAAAAAAAAAATTGTTTATTTTAATCGAATGGTTAGGATTCAATCAATGTTTAAATAACATTGGATATTGGCGGCCACTCTTCTGAATTTACTTTTTATTCCCATTTATTTTTAATTTCTGAATAAGCTACGGTCAGCTTAATTGAATTATCTGTAATTGAACTAATTAAAGTGTCAATAAACAAATCTAAGCCAAACCATAGAGTTTTCTGTGTATAGATGAAATGCAAAATATTGAATAATTAGGCATAAATTATTACGTTTCCGATCAAAATAAATATTAGGTATTTTTATATTTGAATCAATTATTAAGTGACAACATATAAAATGTTATAGTTATTTTATTGGGAATGCCCAAATATAATTTAAGGATAGATAGGAAGTCCAAAGGCTGATCGTAAAGGGCAAAGATGGGACATTAGGCCGAGTGGGTGGGTAAATCTCTTTATTAGCTGGCTTGTATAGACATTGTGGTACGCGTCGCTGTTCATCGCTAACTCCTGTCACACGGTCTCGTTTCCAAGTAGTAGCGTGCTCTAGATCCAGATAGTTCTTATATCAGAAAATATTTTACGACCATACCTAATATAAATAACATAAAAGAAATGCATTGGTATTTGGCTTTATATAGAACATGTGTAGTTATATACATGTTCAGCTGTAATGCTACACAGTAGCTGTACATAGGTACGTGTAACAACTATGTACATGTGTGTAATGAAATGTAATACATAATATATGGTATACCATATTCGTAGTTATACATTTATAATTGCTGTTGGATCTCTTATTATGTAGAGAAAATGTTTCGTGTTCAGAGCATATCTTCTTTGGGTCAACAGTTGACTCTTGCTCATAGTATAGGACAGATTATAATATAGGTATGTATTTGTAAAGAGAACGTCATACGTCTAGCAATTATTGTAATTAGCGACAATAAATATTTTGATATCTAAATAATGATTCTAAACTTTATACTTTGTGTAAGAAGCTTGGAACTCGGATGACCGCTTCACTTGTACGAGTTTCGTTTGTAATGAACATTTTGTAACAGTGTAACGAACACGGTGAGGCGCGCATGTTACACGCGAACATAATGGTTGTGTATTAAGTGTTTAGTGACTGCATGTTGCTGTAGCGGCGCCGGTCGGCGTCGATTGTACTCGTCACTGTACTGGCCCTACTTGCTGTACATCGTTGTAGAACTCACCTAATGTACCTAGTTATTACGAACATCTGTTACTTTGAACACTGCTTGGTGGACAACTCGCCCGGTCCAACCATTTATGCACTGTGCGTTTTCAGCGACGTCATTTATGAATTTTTAATTGTTACTTAAATGTAATTAAATATGGTATTATTTAAAGAAATATATTTATCGTACGTCAATAATGAGAAATATATATTTGACGTTTTTAATAAAAAAAAAAAGTATTTTCCTAATCATGGTACACGATGTGTCTGCAGAGAAAATTTATATTTAAAATGTATAAAACAAGTGGTCAATTTAAGTCATCGAGTAAAGAATTATGTATATCGCCACAGTATCAATTATAGACGTTCCAATTAGAACATATCAACAAATGTTTTGAACACTGTTGCGCTGCTACTGTAGCGCGCGTATGTTACACGTGATCAGACAATATTATGGACAATATCATTGTGATTGAAATAGGGTATTCGATCTTGACCTAAAAAATCGATTTTCTGAATCGATTGGAATAGGAAAATTCGTATATAATGAGACATATAAATCTCGATCTATTCATTTCTGTATCGATCTATGAAAAGAT